CACCACCGCCGCCAATAACATTATCCATTTAATTATCCTTCGCTCCTTGCTTACAATTCTTTACTAACGGCATGAATTTCAATATAATTGTCCATCACTCTCCGCATCCATTTAGGCTAGGGTCTGTCGGTCAGGACACACTTCTGTGTCTCTGGGAACTGACTGAGGACATCATTCGACAAGGCATCCGGTTCTCCTCTACCACCGCCGCCGCACGCGATATTTCCTCGTCCTTCAATAACTGCCTTGCCATAAACGATTGCGGTCCTGGTTGTAGAACCCTACCGCCACCTTCAACTGGCCTGCGCGAGGACTCCATCCAGTATGGCGGGAAAAAAAGTTCTACTGTATTACCGTCGACTTCGTTGGTATCCAATACTATGCCACACAACAAGAGAAAGCCATTTAATTTCCTTCTCACCTATAGACCTAACCCCAAACCCACCGGCCATTTCTCACCTGTGGTCACTACCGTCCCCACTGCTTTCGAGGAGTCCGGCAAGTCCTCAACGCTTACCGACAGTGGAGTATCTTCTGGTAACACCGGTCTCTCCAGTGACCTTCGTGATGGAGCCCTACACAATCACGTCCAGCTCTCTTACATATCTTCCAGAGAGTAAGCTGGTCTGTCTATTGTTTCTATTTATGATTACAGAAGCCTACTCAGAATTTTGTGTGATTTCCTTGTCCCATACCTGTGCAACCAGCCACATAATCCTGTTTTTGCCATCTTCCAGAAACTAGGACCCAATTCATATTTTTCGTTTAGATGCGCCAGTAGTTTCGTGGTCGCATTTTTGTCAAAGTTCTGATTCAGTTATTCTAATTTCCGTGAATGCTTGCCCTCTACTCTATTAAAATCATACAAATAATAGATCCATGATAATCACTTGCAAAATGGTATATGTGCAGTAAATGGAATCTGTGAAAAGATATTTTGAAAGACATTGTCTCTTAACCTAAAAATATATTAAATTAATCGTAGACCATTTAACTGCCCTGGCCCAGTTCACCGTAGCCGTCGTTTTGTAGTCTGTTTTTCGGAGTTGTGGTTTGTGTTAGCTAGTTGAAGTAAGCGAATTTGTGCCCAATTTTTTCTCGTCTACATCACTAAAGCTATGTTATACAGCTTTTTTGAAGGCTAAACTGTTTCATATGTGCTTTCTTATATTCAAAAATGTTAACGGCACCTTTTCTGCTAATGATTTACGTGTTTTTCTTGTCTGCATCCGCTTTTGCAGTCTCC